GACACTCGGGTAATGTTAAGCAGACCGTACGGTGGATTTTCGTCAAAACTGTCGTTGGGTACTCCTGATATTACAGTCAATGCTAAGCTCTGTTGGTTATTTTTTAATTTACTATCAATGAACTCTGACCGATAAGCAAACGATAAAAGTTTCAGTTTTAATCAGGAGCCATAATCGATTATGGCCCCTGTTTTAATGCAACACGCGTAGTTACGTAATCTAAAACGATATAAGCGCCTGCACTATTTACTCATGCATTGATTCCTAACGTTTTATTTACTAGTAAGCAAAAATAGCACAAAAATAATGCAAGTAAAACAAATTTAAATAAAACATCATAAGCATCATATTCCAAAATCGTCATCGAACAAGTGATAAGGCATCCTTGGCTTTGACGAAATTGTTGTGACATCCGATACTGAACCGGTATAGTTCAGTCTATTGGCCATTTCCGAGTTACCTTGTGCCTCTGTTTCAGGACGAGTCTCCGTGCAAAACCTTTCTTATGAAAATAAGTTTGATTTGCACGAAAATGGACCTGTAGGCAGAACTCATTTTCATACGAATGGTTTCGCACGAAGGCTCGTTTTAAAACAGAGCCAAACCAACCCGGAAATGGCCTATTGATGTTCCGATACTCGCGGCTAATATCCATGTATATCTAACAAACAATGGCTCTTTCAGTGTGTGGTGGAACCCGAACTGATAGTCCAGGCCGAGAAATACTGGCTTGTGAAATACTTGTTAAATACTTGTGAGATACTGGCTTGTGAAAGCTTGTGTGGTGCAACCTGCAACGCAAGGTGGCCTTGCGAAAGCGTATTAGCTTCGGTGCAAACCGCACGAGCCGAGCCGAGCCTGGATATCTATTGGCTTGCGTGAACAAAACAACTTCTGAATCGCCGAGAAAACTTGCTCAGCAACACCTGAATGAAATAACAAAGAGTATTGAAACGAGGAAACGAGGAATCTCGTAATATAAGCTTTTCTCGAGGACAGTGCAGTTAGTTTCCAATAACAAAGCAGCACGACAAAGCAATTGAAAAATACAGATGTAGCAATGGTCGCCTTACTCGAAGACAATCACGCGAAATACTAGTACCCGGTCTATCTCTCAGGCTACCCATGCTCACAGAGATCTGTCACGTGACATCACGTCTTCAAACCCTCAACATAGTCGCCGGCTATGTGGGATTAGGCAATACATTGCATAATACAAATGAATATATGAAAGAGCATATATTTGGACTGCGGAAAAAGATATGAAGACATGATTGATTATCGCAGTTATGCACTCAACTTAAGCAGCTGTGGAATTAAAGCCTGAAAAATCCCGTTCAAGCCTGATTTTTTTCTTTTTCTTTTTCTTTTTTTTTTCAGGCTTTAATTTCACAGCTGCTTAATTTGTGTGCATAACTGCGATGATCAATCATGTCTTCACATAACCACACACGTGCCACATGTGGCATAATCCCACAAAAACTGTGAATGTTAATGACGAACTAAAATAGTGTCATAGATGTTGGCCCATTCGAAGCCATTGTTTCCTCAAAGAGGGCTTACATAGCCAAGTCTCCATTGCCTTGCTTGTGGGACCTTTGAACCTGTTGCTTTTCGTGAAATAATTTTTTTTTGCACTTAATTTATTATGACTTTTTAAATGATTGATTTTAAATGCAAACAAAATGATCCAGATGCGAGTTCCTAAAGGGCAAATACAACCGTAATAGCAGGTGCCTGCAAATTCATAATATTTGGTTTTAGCAACACAGAACGATAGCCACTTGATACACAGAAGTTTCGTTTTCCATTTTAATGTCTCAATATTGGATTTCTGGTCTCCTAGACCAATCAAACGGCAATCGACCACCTTAAAAGGAACTGTTTTGCATATGTCTTCTCGCTCTAAGTTTTTTTTTGAAGTTTGTTGTACCTGTCAGAATATATGGCCAAGCAACAATAAGTAGCGAATACATAACAAGTCAGTATAGTGATACGAAAGAAAAAATAATAATAAAAAAAAAAGCGAAGCGCTGGGATCACTTATATTTGAAGCATGTTTCAGCAGCACATAACCCTGATAAACTTGTGTGTGTACCCAAAGAAATGCCATCTCTGTGTATGATTGCACATAATTGGTTAAAACTTCGAGGGAAAGACAAATATATTGATATACTTGTCATATAGACCAGACAGACCCAACCAATCACCAGTACCTTACTATACAACACGTATTTTATTTTCTATTTTGTAAAATCGCCTGAAAAACGAACAAACAAACAAACAAAAAAACGTCTCTAATCCCGACCTCACCACTGACGGCTCTCTTCAAAGAACTAGATTAAACGTCTTGTATATCAGTGTCTA